CTGTCAAACTATCAAAATGTGGTCGACGGTAGAGTGATTACTTCGCTGAACAGCACCTTTCAATGGTTTGCTCTTCATCATAGCTAAGGTATAAACAGGTAATGCTCTGAAAGCCTCTGGAATGATGAGCTGTTGAGTGGATTTAGTTGACATTGCATACTATAGATCAGACCACAAGACATATGCACCTGAGATACAACGGTGGCGGCTGCACAATTCCTTCGATAACCAAGGAGAATGGCGGCGCATTTTTCAGTTAATTCTTCCTGTATGTGTGCGATCTTCTGTTGAGGAAGTTTCGACACGGCTGTGAAAAAACGCAACATCAGCACATGCGAAAGGACTCGAATATTGGTGAGCAAAAAATCCACACACCTTCACGAACCATATGACAAACGACAGTGTCCGTATCAGCAAACCTGAAGACATTCCCCGCAAGAGAAGCAACCTGCAATGCAAGATTACAAACTCTGACCCTTCGTTGACCATCAACTGAAGTATACAAAACAGCGCATTGAAAGAAAGCGTTTTGTCTATCATTGAGGTTCTTCGAATGTTCGAATTCCGCACAAATAGCTTTATCAGCATCCAGTGTACCAAAATCAAGATCCGCTGCAGCATTTTCGTAGTAGTTCCCGTAAGTCTTAGCTATTCGTAAACCTAATCAGAGGATATGAGAAGGAATATGTTGAGAAATGGAAACAAGAGCACAGAAATCATGTTCGAACCAACCGTAAGAACACCGTATTCGCATGGCCGCATTGTAAACCGTCGTTCGAGATATCAGTCTTCGTAGATGGGATTCAAGAACAGCAGCATCTCTTGTAGCGTCAAACCGAGGGTAGAAGAACAGCTCTCCACCAGTCTTAGAAGCGGTCACACCTAGTCGAAATCAAGTAAACACGAAGGATCAGTATAAAGAACAATCCAAAGGCCTGACTCATACATACCGATACTTCCAATATCGATAGGTTTGTACATCCCCAGGAAGATATTAATACCAACTCCAGCTTCTGAACATTGCTCCGCAATATCTTCCCATGCATCGTCCCGCGGTCTAAACAGAGAGGTCTCCTTATCAGTGTCATATAATGCGCCTTCGTCTTCTCTAGGTTTCAAAGCACCAAGACCGACATTAGGGAACATGCTAGCAAATGCAACAACTTGTCCGCCTTCACCTGCCTAGATACAAGGAGAAATGGCGAAAATAAGATGATAAGAACGAAACGTCCTGATCAGCCATTGAACATTCGAACTGACCAGAGCAGCTAAACCCCCCACTAATGCAGCTCCAAGAGCGGAATCACCGAGAGAACCATAATCATCCCTTTGGATCAGAGAGTTGAGGAGTTTCTCGATAAGCGGCCTAGAATTAACAAATGATAAAGGTGATTTAAGAACCATGTTAATTGAAGATATTGAGAATGGATGACGTACCGAGATTCGTAGGGATTAATGAAAACACCGTCAACGGTTGGTAAAAATACATCGTCAGTATCAGATACAACAAGCATTTCAGCTGCGTCTAGATGAGACTATACTTGTGATGAAGAATTAAAATCAAAATTACCATTAAGAGCAAGAATGTAAAGAACGCTCACGCACAGCGAAATTGTAGAAATGTAACGATTGATCAAAGGTCACAATGGCTATTCGATTCCGACTCTGACTATCACCGGATTCTGAGACCGTCGTCGGAAAGCAAGGTAATACTCCACTACCTTCATCTCCGTAAAGGATCCTCAAAATCGATTCAGCGGCAATCCTTGTAAAACCTGATCGAATAGCTTCAGTTGTGACTTCAATGATAAACACATAATCCATAGGTTTCGGTATACGATGACCAGCAGCAGGGGGTGGTGGAGGAACCACAGGAGTGAAAAGTGGTGTTATTCTAGGCGGTGGATGAGGAGAGTAGTATTCTTCTGAAACTATGAAGTCGACGGTACCCTTGTTTAATTCGGGTCTTTGAGCGTGGTCAAGGCGGAGGAGGTTTGCATCGAGGGCGCAGTAGTATTCAGAAGGTACTAAATGGGTAGAGCAGGTGTATTGTTAGAAGAGCCGAAACGGAAAGGATTAAGAATCGAAAGTTGTGGAACAAGTGATGGATTTAAGGTCATGTGAAGTGTGGAAAACAAAACTAGAAGATACTTTGTGGGATCGAAATCAAGATAACTCACCTTCAGTTTCATGTGAACATAAATTGCACTTCCACTTTGCACCGTTTAATATCCATGTACACCAAGGATTGATATATCCTCTACACCTCCCACATCTCATCGGACCCAGTTGTCCAGTTTCAACCACTGGCACAGGCTCTTCCCTAGGATCCACATCGGCGAAAGGTTGAATCATGACAGCCAACGGAATCTGACATTCTGAAACAAGGCGAGAAGTTGAAGGCACGTTCCAAGTTGAAGCTCTAATGAACCTTGGTGATGAATTTCCTACAATACATGTATCATAGATGTTAATTAGCAAAGTCAATATGAATTAGAATGATGATTTAGACGTTAGTTGTTCAGTATTCATCAGTATGAAGCTTACCTTGATCAATGGCCACGAAATCCGTCGTAGAAAGTGGGACATGACTTCCTGGAAGAGTCAAGAAAGTGTTTCCATCCCATTGTTCCTGGTCACCTTCAATAACTTCAACAGGTGATGGAATTTGAAGAGGATCTATGGCTGCTCGGAGTCCTATAGTTCCAATTAATATAATGATCAGCGGTGATACATTAAAACAATATATACCGACCTTTGTATGGCAATCCAGCACTATGTGGTGGCTGAGGAATACGAGGAGGACTTGCATGGTGAGCGTACATGTAGTGGTATAAGGGAGAGGTTGGTGGAATTCACCTCGGCGTTTCGGAAGCGTTGACATCACAAAGCTTTGTATCAAGTTAACACAAGTGTTCTATTGAAGTAAGTAAAATATTTATATTAGTTTGTTATGAACTTCCGATTTCTGAAAGCGCGTCAATTTCAACTTGAACTTCAAACGCAAAACAAACTAGGTACTCTCGGTACTGTACCTCTACCTCCAAAATACCAACTTTTGACCTACCACTCGCTCTACTTAATCTATCCCACAATACCTGATACCATAACTGTCTATATAATTTCTTGCTATGCAATCTGCTCGCTCACCATCTCTCCCAAATCATCCTAACAGTCATGGTACTGGTTCGGCTCACCAACCTCAGCGAACACCCTCACGAGTGAGTAGACAGTAACCCAACCCACCATTAAGATCAGAATTTGACGTCGTATATCGCAATCTACTATTATTGCATGCAGCCTGCCACTCCTGTCAATGCGCCTCCACCACCACAAATGTCTCGAGCAATAGTAGCAGGAATGACCGCAATGGAACGATTGATAGAGGCTGAGAAAGCAAAAGCACTACAAGCTCATATTCGTCGAGAACACGAACTTCGAGACTTATTAACTCAGGTATACCCATTCTTGTTCTCGTCTGGTATACCAGACGCTTTTTACTGATGTGTACTTTACCGCAACGCATGATGACTTTTCTTAATCCAGCGTACAGCAGATTTGATGAAAGCTCAAGAAGAAATAACAGAAGCTCGATTGACCGCTAATAAGTCTGCGGAAGCACTACAATATCTTCGAAACATGCTTTTAGCTGCAGGAATCACCGATAGCGGAAATGGGATTAAAGTGGACGAAACATGGCAAAACCTATTCACTCAAGTGCTAAATCACCAAACAGAGGTTCGGGGCTCGAAAACATTACCTCCTTCAGCTACCACTTCAAATTCTTCAATAACAGAGGAACCTTCTCCGACTTGGGTCGATCCCGAGTATATAACTCCAGATGGGAACCACATCAAGACAGAACATCCGAATTTCCTTCACGCTCTTATGACAGCTAGGAAATTTCTGAACGCTAGTAATGAAGTAGCTGCGTATTGGAGAAATCGAGCTCTCGAATTGGAGAAACAAGTGGCAACTCAGACTGGCAACGATGTACTCGATTCCCCTGTTCATGCAGAAACCCAGCCTGCGGCTTCAGAAACAGATCTAAATCCTCCCCTATCTACCGAACAGGCTCTGAACGACGAAGAGGTAAGAACCTTCGTTAATCCCAACCGTTATACTAATTCCAGACATGACAGTTTAACAATTTTTATCAACATCCAGATGATATAAATTACCCGGATTCAGGATTCTTTTCTACCTCTTCATCAGGAGATCTGTCGTTGGATCTTACAGGTATCGACGCCAGTTTCTTCAACGGCAACGACGATATGGATTTGATCCAACCATCTACTTCTTCCCCTCCTGTGTTCGATGACATGCGACCACAAGATGATGTTGATATGTTGTTCAATTCTACTATAACAGCCGAGAATTTTCAGGATCTTGGCAGTCCAGTCCTCCATTCTGACATGTCTCCTGCACCATCCTCTCCTGTTGTTTCGTCGACACTCGTTGATGAGCCACGAGACCAATCGGAAACATGTGAAGAACCTAACGCTTACGATGATGACTTAGCCATGTCAACCACCCTACCTTCTCCTGACAGTTCTTCTTCCCTTACATCTCTATCTTCCGCAGATAACGATGAGGAATTTGACATCAAACTCATCTCTGATTCAGAGAATGACTCTGACGATTTAGATACAGACCTAACTATCAGGAGGTTTGATTATAACCTCGTCACTAATCGTGTCGCAATATTGAAACCAATGCATGAGATTGAAACGCATTATGTTTGTATCTTACACTGTGGTAAGGGAGATGCAGAGAATGTATGCGAGTTTGTCTTGGACTACGTATCTGTCGATAATATGACTACTGACTGACGGATACTACTGTAATTGAATTCTTACACATCATCCCTCTATTTTTGGAGTGAACTTCGTCGCGCGGAGCTGTATGTATAGTACGTATGTTTACTAGTTCGCGTAGGGCGACAATCATAATATTCTATGGATCCAGAAAGAATGGAGCTCGATGGTGTGTACAAAAAATGCCAGGAAGGTGGCTCGAACACCTGACCTGCAGAATGATGCTACACAAGCTTCAGTCTGTCGCTCTCCCAGCTGAGCTATCCCGGCTGGTGACAACAAGCTTCGCCCTTATAGTGGAGACTTGTCGGACTAAAAAACATGTTGGAAACACTGACTTAGACTCCAGTAGACTCCACTCCGTTGTTGGATCACTTCACGAGCAGACTGATCATGAACATCACGATTCACGAATATAACGCATAACTCGAGAGGAGTATACACTAAAGTACAAATTCAAACAAAAAAAAACTATTAACGCAAGCGAAATCGATCGACGAATCATGAAGCAGCAAACAAGGATAACAGGAGAACAACGCAGGAGGAGCAGAAAACAATGCGCATGGTGACAGATAAGAAGGAAGAAGACGAAAGCACAGCGAAGAAGTTGACGAGAACAAAAAGCAAAGCAAAGCGAAGACGCGATAGAACTCAATCAAGACAAGGAAGATGCGGAAGAGAAACGAAACAAGCAGACGGTGGTATATTACTCGTTAAGCAAAGAACGACTGGAATAGATAGCCAAGGCAGCGATAATAGGAAAACCAAGGGAAAGGGTCTGAGAACTGAGCCTGACTCGTATAGTATACAGCGGCGCAGCATGATACGTGATGGACGAGGAGGCCTCGAGGCATGGTCCAAAAGAAGTATCAAAATAGGAAGAGTCATGTTAAGATGTATGTCAACAATGAACGATCATCCTCGTCGACATGATATGAAGTATTGTTCTGAATGGCGGGTAAGTCGATTAATGATCCTTGTGCCGTAACGTTTCTGCATGTCGACGGAAGTGAGTGTTGCATAATTCTGTGAAAGTAGAGGGTTTCAGCCAATACACTAAGAGGGAACAGTGATGAAACGACCATACACAACCATCGAGACCCGAAGTCACAGCAACAGTATTGAAAGAAAATGTCCTGATTTAGTTGACAGTGTTATAGTTGTACCCGGATTCCTCTAATCTATTCTCGCCGTACTCATCGCTGCAAACACCACCTACTGACTCAATGAGTTCGGGGGTGAGGTTTGGAGCGAATTGAGTGAGGTGAGCTCTAGACCGAAGATGACGCTCCAGGTCATGCTTTCGGGTAAACGCCTTACCATCACAGATTTCGTACGGACATACGAAAGGCTTGAGACGGGTGGAGTCGTGCGTGGCCATGTGCGCCTTGAGGTTGTATTTGCGAGAACATACTGCAATGCAAACAATTACAAGGAGATACAAAGAATATGAAGGTAGCTCACTCTGGGTACAGACTGTGCATTGGAAGATCTTCGTCTTTCGGCTTCCTATAACGGAAGCCTTCGCATTCGACCTGGGTGCTCGTGGCTTTCGAACAGATTGAGGTGATCCCTTCCTGACCACAATGGCTTGGACTTCATCATCAATATGAATCTCAGTATTGGGAGATGGATGAACGAGGGTGCTCAGATCTGATGTTGTGTGCTCTGCAGTAACATCTCCTTGACGTTGAGGGTAATAATCAGTGATGCTGATTGAAGTCTGGAGTGTGATGCCCGCAGCGTATGCGGGGTTGGCAAAAGCCGCAGATGACACATTGCCATCAAGCTCAGATGGAATGCTATCTGGGGATACAGCAGCGCTATCGAGAGAAAGCATGGATGTCCAGAGCTCGAGCTCGGTGAAATCTTGCTGCGTCATGAAAGATCCCATGGAGTATTCTGAAGGGGTTGCAGGAAAAGGGCTACTGTAACTGGATATCTCATCCCCTGTGCAAGGTGAGCCATAAGCAGGCTCGGAGAAGTCGGCAGTGGGAGTTGAAGGTATACCATGAGCGATTGTATCGACTGGCGGGATGGGAAAATCAATGGAGGGAAAGGCTGGAAGAGAGTCAATTGACGCAATGTCAACGTCCCGATAAAATTGTTCTGGAAGTGGGGTCGCAATGCGGGGATCGCAAATGGGGAACATATCTGCTGGGGGTTGCAGATCGGTGTAATCCTGAATCGAAGGGAATTGCTCGATGTCCATGTAAATGCCGTAGGGCTCATCGTCAACAGCGAATTGCATGAAAATGGAGTCTTCGAAGAGGTCTTGGGACATTTCGACAACAGTGAGAGGGGAAGATGGTGGTTGGAAGGAAGGTGTTGTGAGAGAGTGGGTTATCCCATATCGCAGTTTAAGTACCTAAAGGCCTGCGCGGAATCACACGAAGAACACGACCAGTCACAGCCCGTTACAATAACGCGTCACGCATTAGTTCGACTGCTCGTCAAACCGACAAATGTGTGTCCGTGAAAGCTTGAATAGCGAGTGATACAGACCAGTTAAATCCTAGATTTACTCTGCAGTCCTCGAAGAAAATACAAGTTTTCATTCAGAGCTTTGCCTTCTGCTGACTTACAACTCTCAACTTCCCCAAACCTTCAATAACATCCTCTGCCTCTTTCTCGATCCGATTCACAAGCACTTCACAAGTAGGACAATCCTTGATCAACCCAACTGTAACACCAGCACTCCAAATTCCATAATCAGGGTCGCCGTTTTCATAAACGACTTTTCCTCTGGCACCAGAAACGAGATGTTTGATGTCATCGAATTTGACTCCTCCTGGACGACGTTCGAGAGCAACTACTTCTTGAGAAACTTTGTTCTTGTACACTCGAGCGGTGTTATGAAGAGTTCGGAAGATGTGGACTGTATCCTGTTCAGTCGAGGCGATGATCTTGTCTTTGATGTTCTGGTGAATTGGACTATGAGGTAAAGATAAGGTGAATTGGGGAACAATGGTAGTAAGCAATACGGTGAAATCATACCTTTCTACCGTACACATGAATCTTGTCCCTGCATTTGGCATTTCAGAACAAACCTCTCAAACTATGATTGAAAGTACTGACCCATGTTAGCACCCTAAACGGACCTATTAGTGCCATGTACAGAATCATGAAGTAAATATCGGAAACATACACAAGCACCTAATGCAAGCGCGGCAGCTAAACCACGCCCATCTGCAATCCCCCCAGAGGCAATATATGGTATATTCAATTCTTGAGCGGCCCTTGCAAGCAAGACTAAACCACCGATGTCTTCTTCACCAGGATGACCAGCACCTGAGCAACCCGGTTCATAAGTTGGGATTGAATATCAAAGATTAGTGATGAGAACCTACATTCAAAACCGTCTATACTAAGGAGATCTACTCCATGTCTAGCAGCAGACTAATGCACAAGATGTTAGTAATATTTATTGGCTATGTCAAAGTTAGACATACCTTTGCATGTCTGATGGTTGTACATTTATGAATTACGATACACCCATTCTCTTTGAAGTACTTGATCAAAGGTCCAGCTTCAAACGGAAAAAGAGAAGTTATTCATATATGCTATCGAGAATGCACTTTATACATAGATACGTACGGTTGTTACCAGCAGTCTCAAAAATTCTAACGCCTTCTTCTACTGCGGCTTTCGCGTAACCAGGGTAATCTGGAGGAGAGATGGAGGGCAAAAGAGTGATGTTAACACCGAAAGGTTTGTCGGTCAGTTTACGAGTTTCTCGGATAGCCTGGCGAAGAGCATCGGGAGATGGTTGGGTGAGAGCAGTCAAGATTCCTGGGGAGAACCACGAAATGTTGAGTCAGGTAGCCTGGTATGACGAATAGCTAAGCTCATCACGCACCGAGTCCACCTGCATTAGATACAGCAGCTGCAAGTAAGGGAACGCCAACCCTAGGAAAGACAATAAATGTCGGGATCGGCTATTGCAGTTGAAGTAAAGGACTCACCATTGCATTCCACCTTGAACAAGGGGGCTATAACATATATTAGGGAAACGCATACCAAAGAGTGGGATTTCACATACACTCGAATGTCGAGACGTTGAGTTAAAGGTGTAACTAGCATTCTTCGAGGCGTAGAAGTTGAGAAAGTCTTGTTTGTAATGAGAGGGTTGGTGGTTCGAGAAAAAGAGATGACCTCGCGACGATGAACAAAGCTGTTTCTGAGCAGGCTGTCGTTGTTGGCAGGAATCAAGTTCCGAAAAGATGGGGGAGTTGTTGTAAGATAGAGAACTCACCCAGACCAAACTTGCATCCTCTTATTCGCCTGGCAAAAGCTGTGATCTCCCGCTTCGGTGGTCGGTCAGCGTGATTTTGGTTCACGCCCTGGTATGTTTTGAGCACTTCTCCAGTGTCTGTAGCAGCTCATGTGGATGATTTAGTTCGAGGCGGTTGTGGTTGGGAGAGACATGTGAATATCATGGCAAAGATGCGGTTAACTTTCAAGGCGCCCATTATGTGAACTTGCAATGAACTTGAATACATCCCAACACTTCAAGCTTCAAATCTCAAAGGAGGTCTAAGAGTAAGAGGTATAATTATCAGAATTAGTCTAAAGTACAGCGATACTCCAGATTCAGAGTTCAGGGTTGGAAGTATTATTCATCGCCAACAACTAGACACTGTGCTGGTGACTGAACATGATGACCTTATCCACGACATGTTGAGTCGAACATACACCATTCCACCAATCCTGCGCCGGGAGGATTTTCACTGAATTTTCCGGTCTCACCTAAGCGCAATGTAAGTATGGTCAGAAAACGGGATGGATGTTCTACTATACTTTCGGAACTGATAGTAAAGTGTCATCTGCACACCGTATCAAAAGTCTCTTGGATGATTTGTGGAACGTAGCAGACCCGGGTTGGTGCAAAGACATAGAAACATCCGAATAAATGGTCGAGTCAGACTCTACAACAGACAAGTCAAAGAACTGGACAGTTTGACCGGTTGGAATATATCCAAAGATGGGTTTCTGAACAAGAGCATCAGGCACTGGTACCCTAGAATGCAATGAAACAATTTACTCGGTAAGAAAGAGCGAAATGCCTTCGCAAAATCTGAGAAGCAGTCAACTCTTGGAAATTTGGACAGGAGTCTTCAGTAGAGATAAATGGCGCGTAAAGTGCATGGGGATCTTCAAGTTGGGGTCGCGATTGTGCCTTACGAAAGAACGGGTCAACCTCTGAGCGTTTGAGAGTGCCGTGAAGCTTACCTTGCCTTCCCGCATATCCCTCAGGACTTGGACTAGAA